AGCATAACTTGGCCAATAGGCTCTTTGGAAGTATTAATTCCACAAGTGCCCCGCTGGATCCTAGGCTTGACGTTGGAGGACCATCTTTCCACGCCAGGCGGGCCTCTGCCGTCACACAGCCTGCAGCCTGGTGGAGCTGGACGAGGTGATGGCTGGCCGGACTGGTGGGCCCGGGAGGAAGGCAGCCCCAGGGCCGCCTCGGCCTGGCCGTGCGCCTGTGTGTGCACAGCTGTCGGCAGGCGTTCCTGCAACAAGCCTTTTGAAGGGACCCCCTTCACAGAACGCGCTGCTTGCCGCCTGCCCCCAGGGAGGGAGACCCGTGGGTGACCCCCCACAACGCAACCTGCGTCAGCCACCCAGGGGGCTCAGCGCACTCCGCGGGTTCGGCCTTCCCTGGCTGCGCACGCACGTCACCCTCGCCCCGCCCTTTCCTCCTTGGCCGCGGATTGGCTGGTTTGGGCCACGTGGGCGCGCCTCGCTTTTCCTGGCGACGAGTGGCCGGCCGCCGGCTGGTTTCCGGTGCGGTGGGTCGGGATGACCGAACCCGGCGCTTCTCTGGAGGACCCCTGGGTCAAGGCAAGCTCCGCGGGCGAGCACGTCGGGGAGGGGAGGGCGGGTCGGGCGCGTCTACGTAGGGGGTCCGGAAGATGAGGGCAGTCACTCCGGTGCCAAAGTACCCCCGCTTCCGCCCTCCGGGCCCGGGGGCTCCAGAGAAGACAGCTCGCCCCCCGCGCGTGCTAAGGTGGGGAGGTGGCTGAGGCGTGGGTGCGCGAGTGTGAGGGCGGGTTTGGGACTGGGAGGTGGCGGTGTGGGGCGGGCGGGGTCATGCCGAGGGGCGGCGCTCCCACGACCTAGCCAGTCTTGGCTCTCGGGGAAAGCCTTCCGTTTCTTGCGCGCGCCGGTGTGTGTCCGTCCGTCCTTCCATTGCCTGCGCACCTGCCTGTCGGTCCGTCCATGGCCTGCGCCCGTGCGTGTCGGTCCGTCCATTGCCTGCGCCCGTGCGTGTCGGTCCGTCCATTGCCTGTGCACGTGCCTGTCGGTCCTTCCATTGCCTGCACACCTGCTTTTGCGCAAACGATTGTACGCAGAGAGAATGGAAGAGGCCTCCTCGGGACGGAGGTCTGACGCGCTTTCCTCCCTTGCTGGGTGCCGCAGGTGGAGTATGCCTACAGCGACAACAGCCTGGACCCCGGTGAGTGCCTCCCCACCCACTTCAGCCCTGTAGGTTCCCTTGGCCTTGGCCGCCACCGCTGACCGCAGCCCACCGTCTCTGAGCCTGACACAGTGAGGGAGGAGCTGGAGGACCAGGGCAGGAGGCACGGGAGGGTGAGCCTAGTTCCCTCTGCTGTGGAACAGGGAAGGGATGGAAATAGTGACAGCTGGTCACTCTCACCCTCATCAAGCCCAGGTGTTGCTTTGTGAACCGGCAGTACCATTGCAGGCCAGTGGAGCAGTTTAGACCCAGGGACAGGAGCCTTGCAGATGGCTCTAGAAGTGGCTGGCCCAGTACGGCTAGCTTTTGGTTTAAGGGGAGAGGTCAGCATTTAAGGATCAGGAGCAGTGGTGCCCACAGGTGTCTGAAGGCCTAGCAGTGTCTCCCCCCCCCCCCCCCTTACCCCTTAGTGATTGGGGCCTCTCTTTTCCAGGGCTTTTTGTAGAAAGCTCCCGCAAGGGGAGTGTAGTGTCCAGAGCTAATAGCATCGGCTCCACCAGTGCCTCTTCCGTCCCTAACACAGGTAGGCAGCCACATCCCCCATCTGGCGGGGCTCAGATATGCCATCATTTTGGTGTCTTTCTTAGGACGCTCTGGCCATCCACGTGGGGTGCTAGAGCCCTAGTGCTAGACACAGGGTCTCATCATTGTTTGCCGCATCTAGAATAAGTTCCCGTGTCCATCTGCTACCTGGGCGCTACGTGCTTCTTCCCAGTTAGGGACAGATGGATTAGCTGGGTCTCCCTGGGCCCCAGATTGATCTCTTCCTGCCCCCAACTCTGAGCATAGATGACGAGGACAGTGATTACCACCAGGAGTCCTACAAGGAGTCCTACAAGGACCGGCGCCGGCGAGCACACACGCAGGCTGAACAGAAGAGGAGGGATGCTATCAAGGTGATTGGGGAGGCCTCAGCCAGCACAGGAAGGCCCTGCACATTTCAGACTCATTGTGCCCTGACCCCATCAGACAGGCCCAAGCGACCTGGGGGCAGCTAGTCGTCCCCGGACATGAACACCTCCCTCCTTTTAGTTTGTGAGAATGGGACTTAGTGTCATGGAAGAACAGTTTGTGCCATTTTGTCTTAACCCCTCAGAGTTAAGGCATCTATGTCCCTTGCTCTCTCCACAGAGAGGCTATGACGACCTGCAGACCATCGTCCCCACCTGCCAGCAGCAGGACTTCTCCATTGGCTCCCAGAAGCTCAGCAAAGCCATCGTTCTGCAGAAGAGTATGGCGGGGAGACCCCTGGAGGGGTTGGAGCAGTGGGGCTATAAGCAGGCTAGCCTTGGACCCGCTTTTGGCCTGGCCCTGTTGGGTGGTTGTAATGGGAGACTTGGGGAACGGGGAAAAGGGAAACAAGATCAGCCTTGTCCTCTGGTTGATGTCCTCTATGCCCACAACCTCTGTCCACCTTCACCCTAGCTATTGACTACATCCAGTTTTTGCACAAGGAGAAGAAAAAGCAGGAGGAGGAGGTGTCCACCCTACGCAAGGACGTCATGGCCCTAAAGATCATGAAAGTGTAAGCGCGCCCAACTGTGGGAACCGGGGCTTCTGAGGGGACTGAGGCCCACTTCAGTTCACTCTCCCTTTTGTTCAAAGGCCACATCAGCTAATATTCTCACTCCCTCCGGTGGCCACTTAGAGGCAGGAACCTGTCCCCCAATAGTCCCTGATAGTAGACACTAGAAAAGTCTGTTGGGTTAATGGAAGGTTAGAGAAGATAGGTGTCTATTTTTTAAAAAATATATTTTATTGATTTTTTACAGAGAGGAAGGGAGAGAGATAGAGTTAGAAACATCGATCAGCTGCCTCCTGCACATCTCCTACTGGGGATGTGCCCGCAACCCAGGTACATGCCCTTGACCGGAATCGAACTGGGGACCTTTCAGTCCGCAGGCCGACACTCTATCCACTGAGCCAAACCGGTTTCGGCAAGATAGGTGTCTATTTTTAACCTAAAAGCAGTATCTAGCTTATGAATATATCCCCAAAGCTCTCTAGGAATCTCCTTCTTGGTTGGGGGAGGTATTGAGGTCACCCTATTCCCCTCCGGGCCTGGTAGAGCTGCTGTAGCACCTCAGCCCTGGCCTGCTTGCTTTTAGGAACTACGAGCAGATTGTGAAGGCACACCAGGACAACCCCCACGAGGGGGAGGATCAGGTTTCCGACCAGGTCAAGTTCAATGTGTTTCAAGGCATCATGGACGCCCTGTTCCAGTCCTTCAATGCTTCCATCTCCATGGCCAGCTTTCAGGAGCTGTCGGCTTGTGTCTTCAGCTGGATTGAAGAGCACTGTAAGCCTCAGGTATGGGGCAGCAGGGGCCACAGGGCCTGGCGGCTTCTCCCACCTTCAGGCAGTGACCCAGCCATTTCGAAAAGCAGGCAGCAGACTTTAGGTTTCTTCAGGGTGTCTCTGCAGCTTTCAGTACTCGTCCCCCTTTTGCTTTCTAAAGTTTACATTTTCCTGTTACCGTTTCATTTATCAAGTATGATCTGAGCACTTACGCCTATAAGGCCCAGTTCTGCCTTGGTTTAGTCCATGCTGTGGCCACCTTGGTCCCTCCTCAGCTGCCCAGTATGTAAGCCCCATCACTTGAAGCAGAATTACATGGGGTTTTGGGAAAGATTTCTAGCCCCAACCCCAGGCCTACTAAGGTAGCTTTTCCTGGAGTTTACTTGTAGTGATGTGGTGTGTTAATGGTATTAAACTGAGTCTTCTGCTTTTGAGGCCTTGTTGCTTCTTCTGGGGCTTAAACTTGTCTCTCAGATTCTCTTTTGTTTTCAAACATTTTTATTAGGAGACACTTTAAACATACTGGAACATCAAGAGAATTTACACTGAATATTCATATATCACCCAAATTCTACCATTAATATTTTCCATGTTACCCCATAGCTGTCCATCTCACCATCCCTTTCTCCATCCTGTTTTGGGAGCATTGCAAAGTAAACTGTAGACATTAGTGCTTCCCAGGGGCTTTTTTTTCCCCCCGCTAGAAAGAGCGCACCTGGTCAGGTGTCCCAGACAGCTCTCTGCCCTCACCTGAGCATCATCTCTCTTCCTCTGCTGCCCTCAACAGACCCTACGGGAGATCGTGATCGGTGTCCTGCACCAACTGAAGAACCAGCTTTACTGACCTGCAGAATAGCCAACAAGAGGCCTCAAGTCTCCTACTTGGTCACAACCACTGGGCTTGTGAGATTGGACTGCGACACCGCACACCAGTCAGCTGGTTTCTCCTTCATGTTTCCTCCCCTAGCCCCCCTCATCCTCAGTGGGGCTGGGGTGTTTGTGAAAGCTTCTGATTAATTTATTATATTGACTGTAGAGCTCAAACCTACCCAGTCTTCCCCCCATAGAAGTCCTCAGAATGGGGGTCTGCTCTTGGGGGGGGGGCGGGGCGCATGCACACACACACCCCTTTCCTAAGCCTCAGAATTCAGCACATGATCTACACATATTTAGAAACTGTTTGCCTGTTTCGGTATCTTGGGTGACAGCTGGCCCAAGTTTGGCCATTTTGGCAGGAGTCGCTTGGGAGGAATGCATTAAGAGAAAAGACTTCCACAGCTATGAAGGCTGAAAGGCTGCTCATGCCTAGGCTAGAGCTGCCTGGTCAGCCCGAGGTAGAGCCACGGCTTTCTGGCCGGCTCAGGCTCGGCTGCCAGGGTCCTGCTCTTGCTGTTGACTCCACCACCTCTTCGCTGCTCCGGGCAGCAGACAAGCAACCTCCCACCTACTCCTGCCCTATCCCCACAGGCACTGGCGCTGCACAGCAAAGTCAAATGTGACAAAAGTTTTTATTTTTCTAAATACCAACAAAAGTTTTGCTGAAATTACAATTTTAAAAAAATTAGCTGGGCCTTAAAACCACCGCCAGCTTTCTGTCAGATGTATCTGGGTCTCTACCATCTTTCATGTGCTGCTTACATTTCTGCCAGAACTTGGGGGTGGGTGAAGGCCTGAGGTATATGGAACCCAAGAGAGTCTGGGGTGCAGCCCTGGACTCCTTGAATGCTGTGTATAATAGCCTCTCTCTACCTTTGTCCCCCAACTTCCCTTTTGCCTTCCTCAGATTTGTTATCTGGGAGGTTTGATTATCTAGAGGAAATTAAATATTTTTATATCAAATTATATTACAATAAATATTGCCAAATGCTTTCCTTTAGTTTTGTTCCAAGTCTAAGTGTTACATTCTAGACCATGTAAATGAGTGTACCCATCGACTCTGGATGACAGCACTCCTTCCCCTCCCGCTCTGCCTAACACTCTGGCTTATGCCCCTCTCCCAGCTGCCCTGCTCAAAGGCTGAAAGCAGCAGCAACAATAAAAAAGCTGGCAGCCAGTCTGAGACTCCGTCCCCATCACCCGTCCTACCACGGGGGCCCTCAGGGGTCTGGGAGCTTGACATTATAATCTTCATCTGTCTCTATCCCAACTTCCTCCTGTGGGGCAATGAGACAAGTGAATGAGACCTCTTTGGGCGGAACCCCAGGGGAGCAAGGAAGAACAAGAGAACCACTTACAAAGAACTGCTTCTTACTCTTGGGGTACCCTTCCAGGATTGCATCACACAGCTCTGTTGCCTGACAAGAAACAAGACCACCCCTTTGCAGATGGGCAGCACTTGGCACTGCCTAACAGGTCCATGACATGGCAGCAGTTTCGTGGGGGGGGGGGGAGGGGGGGGGCGGCTATTTTCCAGGGCCTGCCTGGGAACTCCTGCACTTACCATCCTCTTGCGCTTCCTCCACTCCTTGCAGTACTTCTGCTTCTCTCTGTACACCTAAGCAGGGGGAACAGGTTTCTCTAAGCCCTTAGCCCCACGGCAGGGCAGCTGCTGGGGTCAACTCTTGTGCTCGCTTCTCTGCACAGGCTGCCTGCCCTCCCAACTCACCTGTTCTTTCTCCTCCGGGGTCACATGGCTGGTGGCTGCTTTGATGTTCTTCAGTCTCTCTGTGTAGCCAGCACATTCCTTCTTTAACTCCTGGATCTCTTTCTGCATCTCCGGTGTGGTCAGGGCACTAGTTAACTCCTTCAGCTCTGAAACCACATCTCCCTGACATCACTTGCTGTCCCCCAAGGAAGGGGTTCTCTTCCAGTGGGTACTCCTTAGGCAGGAGACCAGGCCTCCACTCGCTCTGGGTTTTACACCCAGGGTCCGGAATGGGCCCCTGATTCTAGAAATGTCCAGGAAGCTGTAGCCAGGGAAGTGTGAGAACAGTATGCTGATAATCATGACAAGGAAAGCAGATGCATGTCCTGCCCATTTGAATTTCAAAAGCTATCAGCTGTCCTATTTCTCTGAATGTAATGCTATGGCAGCCCAGCAAAGGGATCCTCACTGCACTGAGACAACAATGCAGTCAACAACCCATTTCCTCAGTAATCCTGACCTCTGGACAGACCTGATGCTAGCGAGGGGCACCCTCCGAACAGCCCATTCCTACCAGCCTCCATTTGGCGACAGCTCTGCTGCAAGCTCTGCACCTTGGCAGTGAGGGTCACGATTTTGGCATCCAAGCTTTGGAGGTCAGCATCACTCACCGTGTCAAACTGGTCCTGCCAAAGACAAGAAGAGTGGCCCGATGTGTGACCCCGCGTCCAAAAGGCCACATTCAGACACACAGGAACCTTCCGAAATAGCAGGAGTGTACTTCTGAGAGAGATCATTCAACTTAGTACTGAGCCCAACAACGAAGTATCAAAGTTGAAACCTAATGCCTGTCCTCAAGGGGCTTCTAGGTTGTCAGGAGACTGAATAGGACAAATATGTCAGTTTAGTGATCAAAACTCTCACTAGGCTGAAGGAGGAAAGGACCGTTCTTCCCACAGTGATGACTGAACGAGAGCTTCCACAACAGGGGGAGTCTGGATGGCAGGGGCGTGGTGGGAGGGAGTTCGTTAAGGGACTCTAGGAATAAAGTCTGAGGAGCCCCTCCCATGAGACTGTGTTGGGGCTCAGTGGGGGTCTCATCAGTTGGTGAGAGGAGCAGGTTAGAAAGGATGTGAATCCAGCCGGGGCAGCCTGGACTCTACATTAGGCAATGTTAAACCTTTACAACAAGAGGCAGCAAACGACAGCCTGGAAGCCAAATCCTGCATGGTTTTGACAGTTGAGTAGCTGTGGCAAGAGACCACCTGGCCTGCAAAGTGTAACAATTGTCTGGCCCTTTACAGGAAAAAAAATTCCAACTTCACCTTTAGGGGACCTTCAGCAGAGTAGTAACACAATGAAACCTATTTTAGGAAAATTTGCCTTGATGGTGATTTGATTCAGTTAAACGAGTATTTAATGTCTACTGGATGTTAAATACTGTGGGGTGTTAAGAAAGATAAATAAGAAATGGGGTCTGTATTAGGACAGTTTAGTGGGGGAGACAAGTAAAAAGACAATTATACTACAGTATGCCTCAAGAGGTAAGCCATTAGCTCAGAGCATCCAGAGAAGGTTTCTGGAGAAGGTAGTGCCTGAGTGAAATTCTAAAGGATGAGTAAGTTAGCTGGGCAAAGAGGTATAAGAGGAAGAAGGGACTAACACACTACAGGCAAAGGAAAGACAATGGGCAAGAATACAGGAGTAAAACCTATTTAATGGTCTAGCATTAATGGATGGAGAAATAACAGGGACAGATGAGGTTAGAGGCAGGCTGGGGCCAAGTCTCCAAGTGCCTTTTACCTGTTCCAGAGGCACTAGAATTTTAGATAGAAAATGTCATGACTAGATTTTCATGAACACAGATCGCTCTGGCTGCAGTGTTTGTGGAGACCAGGAGATGTTAGGATATTGCAATAGATGAGGAGCATCTGAACTAGAGCAGTGATGGCATGTGGGTTCAAGAAGGGGAAAATCAGCTGGACTTGACGGCTGGCTAGCCATGAGATACGGGAGGTTAAGAATGACCCCCTCATCTCGGGCTTGGGTGAAGAGTGATTCCATTAAGAAAGAAGAAAGTGTCTGCTCTCTCTTTCCGGACCTGGTGGAGCAGAAGGCGCCATCATGGGAGTCGACATCCGCCAAAACAAAGACCGAAAGTTTCGGCGCAAAGTTCAGCCCAAGAGCCAGGACATCTACCTAAGGCTGTTGGTCAAGCTATACAGGTTTCTGGCCAGAAGAACCAACTCCACCTTCAACCAAGTGGTGCTGAAGAGGTTGTTCATGCGTCGCACCAACCGGCCACCTCGGTCCCTTTCCCAGATGATCTGCAAGATGAAGCTTCCTGGCCGGGAGGGCAAAACCGCCGTGGTTGTAGGGACTATAACCGATGACGTGAGGATCCAGGAGGTGCCCAAACTGAAGGTGTGTGCCCTTCCTGTGAGCAGCAGCGCCCGGAGCCGCATCCTCAAGGCTGGGGGCAAGATTCTCACCTTCGACCAGCTGGCCCTGGACTCCCCCAAGGGCTGTGGCACCGTCTTGCTTTCTGGTCCTCGAAAGGGCCGCGAGGTGTACAGGCATTTCGGCAAGGCCCCAGGAACCCCCCACAGCCACACCAAACCCTACGTGCGATCCAAGGGCCGGAAGTTCGAGCGTGCAAGAGGCCGCCGGGCCAGCCGCGGCTACAAAAACTAACCCTAAATCCTATCATGTTATTAAAGAGGTTTTGGATGCTGAAAAAAAAAGAAAGAAAAAAGAAGTGTCCTAGATGGTTTGGTTCAGTGGATAGAGCGTCAGCCTGCGACTGAAAGGTCAGAGGTTCGATTCTGGTCAAGGTCACATGCCCAAGTTGCAGGCTGGATTCCCAGGGTGGGGCGTGCAGGAGGCAGCTGATCAATGATTCTCTCTCATCATTGATGTTTTGTGTGTGTGTTGTTTTTTTTCTCTCTCTTCCTCCCTGAAATCAACAGAAATAAAAATAAATAAAATAAAAATAAAAGAATGTGAGAGGAGCCAGTAAGGGAGAGATGAAGCATTCTACTCTAGCCATAATGATTCTGAAAGACATCCATTTGGAGGTTTGGGCTGAAGATGCAAAATTAATGTGTGTGTTTAGGAAGGCGGGTGGAGACAGAAGTAATTTGGCAGAAGGTGGTTCTAATCTAGATGATTGGGAGTAAGAACTTCCAAACAGAACTGGATCTTGGATTTTCTGCCATCATATTTTAAGTATGGAAACCTCATGAAGTTTGGATCACAGCAAGGGAGTACACACACTGATTTAAAGGATGGCTGGGGCCCCTTTAACGGCGTAAGACAGCGGAGTTTCATGGATTGCCTCAGTTCTCCCAGAGAGGGTTCATACGTGGGGCTGATTCATCTAAATTGGGCTCGCACGCGGGGGAGGGGGGTAATCTGCGCAGACTTCCCTCACCTGGTCCGCAAAATAGATCTTCTGCTTGCCGTACATCTTCTCTTTAATCTTGCCTTGTTGGGCCAGCTGCTCCAGCGCCTTCACCACGGCCTGGCAGGGTGGAGTGCGGGGCAATCAGTGACTGCGGGCCGGGCGGCCAGTGTTAGGGGCAGCGCGCGACCAGCCTTAGGAAGCCCAGGGCTACAGTGGCCGACTCGAGGGGTCCCCAGGGGAGGAACCCCGGGAGCGGGTCCTCACCGCTTTGCCCAGCCCGTGTTCCCGCTGCAGGTTCCCAAACACATCCTGGGCGCTGTAGGGCCGGTTCTGCTCCTGCAGGTACTTCAGGAGGATCCCGGGGGCTACGGGAGAAGACACAGGGGCGGGGTCACTCAGCCGACCCCCGGCCCCCTCACCCGCTCCCCTCCGGGTCTCCCCGGCTCCCGAGGCCCGCGTACCGCCAGTCGCCGCTTCAGCCCGGCCTTTACTCATGGCCTTTCCCGCCGCCAAACTCCGAAAGCCGGACGTTACAGTTGCTCCGGGCAACGGCTTCTTCCGGCGGCGGGAGGGGCGGGCCTCGTGCGGCGACTGGCGGAAGAGGAAACCTTCGCGAGGAACGAAGCGGACCTTCCGGGACCCCCTAGCGGGTTTCTGCCCGGAGCTAGGACACCGCGCACCACCCCCTGCCTGGGAGTCCGCAGAGGAGGCGGGGCACACACTTCCAACCTTCCCCTGCTCCCCCCCGGAACGGAAGCCGGAGTACATCACGCCTCGGTCTTGTGGCCCGGCCCCCGCGGCGGCTGAGCAGGGCCGAAGGTTCCGACGGGAAACCTCGGGGTCAACGCCCGCTGGGCCGTCGGCCCGCTCAAGGTCACAGCGCAGTTACCGTCAGGGCCACCAGCCCACGGCCCGAGGCCCTTTGCCGCTAGTCTTACTTGTAAAGTAGGAGCCAGGGTTGCTTGCAGAAGGGTGATCGTAGACTTAATAAGTAAAACACCCTGGAAAGAAAAGTCACCTTTGTTTGCTCGTTACCGAGCTCCGCACACAGGGGGCGCTCAACTCATGCTGTGGTTTGAACGCCACGGGAAGGTAGGGCTGCGAGGGGTCTATTAAACCACAAAGCTTTTCGAAGTTTCCTGTTGGCTGAGTCAATTTTATGGCAACACCTGGCAGGTACTTTCCACTCCTGCCCACAGTGGCCAGTGGGACGAAGCTTAAAATAAGTATTTCTAGTTTCTGAGGTCAGGTGAAGGCCAAAAGAGCAGCTGTCCCTGCAGCTCAAACAATCCTGAGGAGGGACCTGGTGTTACTTTTTAAAGCCTTCTGTTACCTAAAATCTCATTAGCCTTTGAAATATACTTGTCTCCACACGTTTAGGGAGCAGTATCGAGAATCAGATGCCCTGGCCAGTGTGGCTCAGTTGGTTGGAGCGTCACTGGGCACCGAAAGGTTGCTGGTTCTGTTCGTCAGGGCACATACTTAGGTTGCGGGTTTGATTCCTGGTGGGGGTGTGTACAGGAGGCAACCAGTGTTTCTCTTACATATTGATGTTTCTCTTTCCCTCTCTGAAATCAGTAAAAACATCTTCAGGTGAGGATTAAAAATCAAAAAAGGAATTAGAAAAGATGGAACAGAAATGATGGAACTGCAGGCTAGATGCTGGCCAAGAGTGCCAGTTATGCTCGTGTCTGGGCTCTGGGGAGGGGATAGTGGCCTCACACCATGGTCATTTTCTGACTATCACAATGGGTTCCTTACACCTGGACTTCCTCTTTTGAGGCTCTCGCCTCCTCTAATCACATACCAGATTAATAAGAGACCTATCAAGGGTAGGACACCATTCAATGTTAGTCTCTTACAGATTGTTCTCATATAAGATTTATTCCCCAGCACCCCTCCCACCCCTCCCCTCACCCCAATTCACAGTGGAGGACTAAGGAGATTCAGAGCAGGATCCCCAGGTACAAGAAACACCTTCCAAAGATTTTGCTCTCCTTCCTTCCCTCCTTGCTAACTCCCAAGCCTGGAGCTACACACACTCATGCAAACGCGCAAAATCCCACTCGTTTCCCACACCTCCCATTTTTTTCCACATCAGAGATCACCTGTAAGACATCTGGGCTCTGAGAGGAGATAAGGTGCCCAAAATATTTGAGAACCCTAAGTGGGGAAATGCCATTACCACTAACATTCACACAAAGGTGACTATGAAATAGGCATCTAGTTCTTCTCCCTTCTCACTGTTCATGATTTTCACGTCCTGGCCTCCACCTTTCATCAGCCAAGAGCAAACATGCTAGCACACTCCCACCTGTAGCACATGAAAATGGGCTCTGTCCAGCATCCCTCACCCAGGTGCGGAGGCGCTGGGGGAGTGGTCCCTGAGGATCAGCAAAGGGTTAATGCTGAGGGAAAGAGGACAGGAGTTTGGCTTGAGCTCTGGAGAAGCAGAGAGAGGGTGTAAGCTGACATAAGTTTAGAACTAATTACCAGTTTCAGTTTTTGTTTCACATGATTTTACTAGGGACAGTCTTAACAGATACCCCTTAGAGGGGTCGCTGCTCATTACAGACACAGTCTTGCTAATTGGGCTCATCCTTAAAAGAGGTCCACCAGGTTGGGAAGCAGTTCAATATAAAAAGTTTTAACGGAGCTGAACAGAGTAAGAATAGCTGGTGAAGGAAGAGCTGGTGGCTTCTGGGATGAATGCCACTGAGCCGTTGGTAAAGTGCTACTCTGGCCTCCCCCATGGAATGCTGCTTCTCCAGAGCAGCAGCAAGGGAAGGAGCAGGAACATGGGAATGGGTGTGGTCTGGTATTGCTTTGCTAGTTGCTCAGGCCGATGGGCAAACAGAGCCAGGGGTTAGCAGCACCGAAGACTACCAGGCAGCTCCAAAAGATTCAGTGAGACCATCGAGAGGCACTCGCCCTTCCAGCCAGCTGACCCCACGGCCCAAGGTAATGTAGAAGAGGCCCACCTCCACATCATGTTCACATTTCTTAAATTTCACAAGCAGTTTTGGAGCAAACTGGGGATTAGGCCTCAAGAAATGAGGATGGGCTGTGGCAGAGGGAACAGGCCTGCTCTGCAGGACCAAAGGAGAAGCCTGCTTAGAAACAGACAAATCATGGCTTAGCCCAAGAGGAGAATGACAGTGTAATTCTTCCAGCTGCTGCCTGACTTGGGCCTCTAGGGAGATGATGGAGGAGGAAGGGCTCTTCTATCAATGAGGGCTCCTGAGCACCCATACCTAGAAGCAAACAGCAGCACCCCCTCAAAGGGGAACCAATACCCCTGACTACTTTGTTCCCCAAAAGAACCATCCTGATGGGGAGAAGCCTCCCTAAGGAAGCACACTCACACTTCAGTGACTGAGCTCAGAAATGGGTGTACAGCTGGTAGCAGGGAAGTGAGTATCTTCTCTCAACAGGCCTCTGGACATCAGCCAGGCCACCAGGCATACAAGTATAAGTCAGGGGATGGGACCTGGGTTCTTCCCTTGCCCCTTCACCTTTAGTGGGATGAGAAAAAAACCCTAAGCCACAGTGACCCCCCCAAAAGGAGTCTCTGCTTCAGTGGCTCCTGGAACTGGCAGGGTCCAGCTGACTCAGCTCTGACTGGTCCAGAAGTTCAAAGTCATCCCCCTCAGCATCAGTGTCCAGGTCTGAGCTGGGGGCCGGGAGGAAGCCTCTGGTTGCTCTCCGGGGAGGTTGGCCAGAAGGGCCAGGCTGGGAGGCCCCTGACAGGGCCAGCTGGATCATGCCCTGGGAGACCAGGCTGGCCAAGTTGCTGGTGAGGTTGGATCCTGCAGGCAGGGCACCAAGCAGGAGCTCCGGCAATGTACTCTCGTCACGGCTGGCTGGGAAGCCCTGGGGCTCATTAGCCCCTGGTGGGGAATGGTACATCAAGCTGGGCATTCCAATGCTGGTATCGTCCTCATCGTCCAGGCCAGCAGGATCCACATTAATGGAAGGGAAGTCTGGAAGGTCTCTGGCAAAGGATTCCTCTGGATCACTGTGCCCATCTAGGTCTGAAAGCACAGAAGGATGTCTGAGACATAGCAACTACCTGACCCCAGCCCCACCAAGTCGGCCCCACGTAACCACATTTTTCCACCCTGGATATCTAAGGGTGAAGCAAACCCATGGCACTGGTCAGCTCTTCCCTCTGCTTATAGACTCTGAGTCCTCTGCTGGTGAGAGAACTCCCCTCTCTCCTTCCCCTCTGCTCCCCGTGAACCTACAACCTGAGGAAACTAAGGCACTGAGGCTTCCAAGGAGAGCAGCTGTGCCATCCTGGATGTGGCCATACCCCTAAGGCTGCTCTGACACCTAAGCCACTTCTCAGAAACAGGAGAGGAGAGGGCGGTATCCCTTCTGTCCAGGGAAGCTGAAAGGTGGTAAGTCAGAACCATTATCAAGTCAGGCCGCTCACCTTCAGAGCCTTCTGTTAGAGGTGTCTGGCCCCGTGAAAGATTGAATGTGCCATTGTCTGTGTAGGAGACCTCAGCATCCGAGTGCTCAGAGTCTGTGATGGCCAATTCCCTGGCAACAGTAGAATCATCCAGCTAAGGAAAGAAAAGACAGACAAGCCTGAAGAGATGATGCCGGTAAGGACAGATGCAATAAATTAAAATTTTTTAAAAGTTAAAAAAAAAAAAAGAACAGATGCAATTCCCTAGTAACAGCTTTACTAATTACTGGCCCTGAAGACTACCCTAAGGCCAGAAGTAACCAGATGTGGATGGAGACTTCTGTCAAAATCTTGACCATTTTTAGGCTGCTTCCCAAGGAAAACACCCTTACTCATCAATCTTGAGCACAGGAAGGAAAGCAGTCTTAGGAGTCAACCAGCCACTTACTCTTAAGCAAACTGATCCAGAAAACACTTTTCACAGGTGACCTGGAGGACACACACTGCCCAACCCAAGATGAGCAGGGCTCTTTATTTTTTTTTTTAATATATTTTATTGATTTTTTACAGAGAGGAAGGGAGAGGGATAGAGAGTTTGAAATATCGATGAGAGAGAAACATCGATCAGCTGCCTCCTGCACACCTCCCACTGGGGATGTGCCCGCAACCAAGGTACATGCCCCCGACCGGAATCGAACCCGGGACCCCTTAGTCCATAGGCCAACGCTCTATCCACTGAGCCAAACCGCACAGGGCATGAGCAGGGCTCTTTAAAAGATAATCACACCAGTTCCAGAAGTTCTGCCATGATGGCAGGGGTTAAAGGGAGACATGAAAGAAGGTGTGCTGGTCACCAGGCTCAAATTGAGATTTACAAAGTCCCAATATAACACTAGCTTCTCACAGGAGTGCCAGTTATGCTCATGTCTGGGCTCTCACAGGGGTAAGGAGGGAGTACTTGAGCCTATGAGCTTACTAATAACTAAATGTAGGTGCCAGATGGTTAAAAGGAAGCTAAAGAAGACTGGCCAGCCCTGGCTCAGTTGGTTGGGCGTCATCCCATGCTCCGGAAGGTTGCTGGTTCGATTCCTGGTCAGGGCAAAGGCCTTAGTTGTGGTTGTGGGCTCACTCCCCAATGGGTGGCGTGCAGGAGGCAGCCGATCAATGATTCTCATCATTGATGTTTCTATCTGCCCCTCTCCCTTCCTCTCTAAAATCAATTAAAAATATATTAATAAATAAAAAAGAAAATTCTTTTTTTTAAAAAAGAAAACTGGCCAGTGGTACAGTCCCACACCCAAAATACCTGAGGACAGAAGGCAGCAAGCTCTTCTTCACTGTCACTCTGGTTGTCCATGGCATGTTCCGGGTGTAGAGCTCTGCGGCGCACTATGTGGAAAGAGCAGAAGGCCTTGGCACCTTCCCTTGAAGGGGAAACCCCTACCCTCTGAGCTTCGAAGGCATAAAATGAGAACATAAGATAACCCAGGCATATAA